AGTGCTATGTTCACAAGGTTTCAAATTCCCACCCTGGGAGGGGTGTTGCTACTGGTCTGAGAAGAACAGGCAAAGGTTGTGTGACTTCATGATGTGCTTCTGTTTCTAGTTGCCATTCTCAGGTATCACCTTCCGAAGTCCCTGGGCATCGACTGTCATTTGTCTCTGAGTTTCTCTGATCTTTAGGATCTTCTCCCACTTCCTAGATTTTTCCTTCAGTTAGGAAGTTCTTCACCGTCTTTCCAGGCCCCTGTTGTCTCTTCAAGACTGCTGCTTCTTTTTGGGAATCCTTCTTTTTGGCCTTTTGCTCTTTCCATAAGTACAAGTCACCAGTTTTCCCAATCTAAATAGTCTATGTGCAGTAGTACTATTGGTGATCAGCTTCTGTCTCACGCCTCTTCATTAGTAGGAGAATTCAGAACATGATACTTTAGTCTAGCTATTACCAACATTTGCAGCCAGCCCCTCTGGGATGCAGCTAGCAAGTAGCAGGAATCTTTGTCAGAATTCAGAAATTCAGTTTTGGACCCTTTTCTTCTCACCCCTTCCTGTCTTGCAACAATTATTGGCTACCTGTTAGTGCTCACATTTTAAGCTTTTTTTGGCCCACAACACCCACCAGCCAGGTTTTCATCACAACATTTAACTAAGAATCTTTATCTTAAAGATTAATAATTTATTTTTTTTCAGAAGTAACAATATAAATGAAATTTAATAGACTTATATACTTAGAGGACAATGAGTTATCCTGCTTCAGACTTCTGATTTCCATTGTTTATTTATCCTAAATTTGAGTAATTATATTTAAATACTTAATCATTGTAGCTGGCAGATTTTCTGCTAGATTTCATGTAATTAGGTAAACTACATTATGTTTTCTGACTAATTCACAAGCATTTGAGTTAAGTAAGTTGATTGATAGCAGAATGATTAACTGGAAAACAACAAAAAGTACTTAGAAAAATATTTAATTATACAAAATGGGAAAATATTCCACTTTGTAGGGTTTTTTTATTCATGCTGTGATTTATATTGACTATAAAGCTATAGTTCAAGAAATGTATTTTGTTCTTTTAAAAGTATTTATTTTTTCAGTGACTACATGAAATACTTTTGAAATAACCACAAGCAAATTGCCAAGAAGTTTGGATGAAATTAATGTCTCCTACTGTAGACATTTGCATAGTGATGGTCTGAATTTAGTTGAAACTAATACTGTCCCAATTTATATGCTGAGGCACATATTTACTGTGTCCTGTTCCTGTCATAGGTAAAAGGGAGATGTTTTATATCCAGTCAGACTTTGTCTTTAGTACCTTGCTATCCAGAATCACCAAGGATCCTTACATTTTGAGTTTCCTGCCAGAAAAAAAGTTTTTTTAACTTAAAATATAGGAAAAAAAAATAGGACACAGTGAAATATTTTTAATATATACATTTAGGCTGTTACAAATGTAATGTATTATACACTTTTAATATTTTAATATTTATTTTTAAACTTGGAGAAAATGAAATTTTCATTCCTCTTAAATACTGTTTTTTGATATTTCTTAACTGATCATGCATTTAATGAATATTTAGAATTACATGGACATTGATTTAGTTTTATTTATATTAATGAGACAGCAGAAATAACAAATACAATTTGAAGTGTACATTGAATTAAAATGTTCTTCAAAAAGGATATTTTTAGGTATTTTTTTATATATACCTGTGTTTTTTTATGTTCTAAAAGAAGCTGGGTGTTTCCTGGAATAGGTAGGAGAGTTTGTCTCTCTTTTTAAATCCAGCTGCTTTATTTAAACCATTAAAGCTTATTTTTTAGTAATGAATATGAAACAAAATTACACTTTAGGACCTTCCAGAAGAAAAACAACTTTCAGAACAGTTTAATTATTAATATAATTAATATATGGTAGTTTGTATTTTATATAATGATTGATTTGCAGCACCCTACTTTAAATAATTTTAGGACTAATGTTAATCTGTACTAAGTTAGACCAAGCAACATCTTTATTCTTACATCATTGCACATGAGCATAAAATAAAAAAAATGAACTGACACCTACTAAAAGCAACAGATTTTAATTTTCTTTTAAGTGCACACCAAATCCTTCTGAGGCTCTTTATTTGGTGTTCATGCTGCAAAGAAGAATCTTTTCCTACAAAATATGTTCTTTACCTGAATGTCTACTTACTTTGTGTCACGTCATAACAAGTCTTGTACAGAATCATGTTCTAAATAGTTCTTTTTGTCCTGTACTTACAATGCAGTTTTGGATCATTCATGGAAGACTTGATTCCTCTGTATTTTTTTTCCTCTCAAACCCAGCAAAAATAATCCTGAAGCTGTACGTTACCAAGTACTTCCTCACAAAGTGTCTGGTAATGAAAAATCCTTCTGTGTTTTATATTTTCTGGAAAGGATACTAAAAATAAATTTAATATAAAATTATTGTTTTTAATCCAGTAAGTTTGGGAAACTTCTCTCAAAATACTGTAAATAGAGCCAAACCACTGCTAAGTTTTAGAGATCCTAACTGGGAGGTCATTGTACATAATGGAGCTGAGTGAACCACAGAAGAGCAAACTTGAGTAGCTGCAGGCCTGCGTTGTGCCACGCATATCCCTTGGCTACAGAAGGCAGCTGATTGAAACAGAGGTGCCTGTAGGCAGCTCCCACTTAGCACAGTGATTATGCCACCTGCATGTCCTCATCTTTAGCTAAAACTGCAGCATCAGTTTCTCACATGGATGTCCTTTTTATTTGATAGTGGAAATTATTAGCAGAATTGTTTTATTTTAGACTGAAAGACAGAAGTTAGACTGAAATGTCTAACTCTCCCACAGACTGGACCCTGACTGGAGTTCAGTACCAGTCCTGTACAACTTGGTGTAAACCATTTTTAAGATTCATAATACCTTCAACACATGGAATGGTTACCACTCTGTTTCATTTCAAGATCAGAAATTTTTATCCACTTCAAATGATTTTTCGCGTTGTGGCCTGGCTTTTGGATGATAACTGGCTTGGATACATCAGTCTGGCTGAGGTCTGAAGGTCACTTAGGAGTGAATATGTTCACCTTAAAACCTTTCAGTATACAGCAGCCTAAATGCTTTCTTAGTATGGTTTTGATAGCAGTTCTTCACAATGTATATAACATACCCAAAAATACTGTCTCAAGTTTAAAACTTTTGATAACACTGATTGAAGTGTCATCGTAGCAGTTCTTCACAATGTATATAACATAATTTAAAACTTAAATAAAAGTTTAAAACTTTTTAAAAACTTAAAACTTTTAAACTTTTGATAACACTGATTGAAGTGTCATCTAACTTGTGATAGGAAAAAGTTCAGCATTCTTGACCACTAAATGAAACTATTGTTTTCGGCATACATAGAGAGTCTCTCCTTTTTCTTAAACTTTCATTAAGTTTATAGAGTTCTTTCCATGAAGGTAGAGACCTTTAAGCATACATTATTTGTGTCCCAACTTTAATGTGTTTGATCTTGTAGAATGAAGGTCTTAATATGGCTAGACTTGAAATAAAGGTCTAAAATATGTAACCTGTTGAAATATTTTATGCTTCTGTTATTTTAAATTATTTCTGTGTCGACTTTTGGTGTCTCCAAATTCTTTTTTTGCTAATGAAAATAGTGGACTGTTCTGAACAGTTCAGCCTAACAAACTTCTTCTGTGTTTTAGTGGTGACATTTCTGAGGGTGAAAGCATAGTATAACATGAAGATGTTAATGTGTTTCTGAAATGTAAAGAATTTTCTATAATCTCAGATTCTGTAGCATATTGGTGGATTTTTTTCACCTTCAGAAGCTTCAAACAATATACTCTGTGGATGTATAGTGAAATAAAAGCTATATAATTTGTCCTATATGAGAAAGTGTGATTCCAGTCTATCTGAAAACTTTGCCAATGTCTGAAGTCTCTCTAAATGTGAGACCTTGGACCTGAGACAGTAAGGAAAACAAAGAAAATTAAGCAAAAACCCCTTTTTTTGCTGGAGAAGCTGAAAGAAACTGCAGATAACACAACACAGAAGGCATGACTCAGTACTTGAATATTTTGCGACCAGATTGCTGTCCTTAAAAAAGGCTCAGCTTCTGTATGTTCGTACTTAAAGTGCATCTTACCTGGAGAGCAAAGTACCAGTAATTAGGTATAGACAGTGATTAAAAAACAATTAGTTATTGATATGTCAGTAATTATTTTTTTTTTAAATATCTTAGGCTGAGAGTTCTCAAATTACTATATTCTTCCTATGGTTTGTTATGATGCTTAAGAACATACATTTGTTGTTTAAGTGCTGTGTTAAATATTTAACATATGGAATGCTTCAAATAAGAAATACTAATAAATAAACTATTTCTTAAGAATCAGTTATATTTTAAATAAAAACGTTAGAAATATAAAAAAGAATCTTACCTTGTGAGGCATAGGCCTTTACAACTCAATTGTAGAAGTAGTGATTTGTGCTGTAGGAACTGTGATATTAGCTTTCATTTATATTGCATTTGTGCCAAATAATTTCATATGACCTTAAAATTAATAGCTTTTTCCTTCTTATCTTTTAAGTGTTGCAACTTTAAAAGATTCATGCCTATTTTTGTGAGTTTCAATAGCTGTATGACTTTTATATGACTTCAATAGCTTTTATGACTATAAAATAAAAACAATTCACATGTTTAGGTTCCTAAATTTTACAGGTGTCTCTGAGGTTAAGTTTACCTGCTTTCCCTTCCATTATGATGAATATTCTAACACACTGCATCAGATTGTATGAGTAATAGTTACAGTGTTCTTTGTGAGGATTTCCATGTTTTCAGCAAAGGCTGCAGAGAATTATGCCTCAGAAATGTGGCGGAAGTTTCCCTTTTCTGTTCTTTCCCCTGCTCAGTCATTTCAGATAGTCATTCTAGCCAGAATAAAATTAAACATGTAAAGGGAGAAAAGTCTAATCTTGCTCTGTTTTTAAATCAGGTGAAGTACCACCGATGAGATGGATAGTAAATTTTGACCGAGATCTTCTGGATGGTCTGGTGTTAGCAGCACTGCTGGCATCTTATTGTCCATATTTGGTAAGGACTTTACTTATTATTGTGCAAGTTTTATACAGTTTATTAATATAACTGGATTTATTCAGGCCTTATTTTTCCTTTGTAATATTTGCTTATATGGATTTTGAAAATAAGAAACCCTTACAGCATTTAGCAAGTCTAGACTGATTATTGCGGGATTATTTTTTTCTTCTCTTTGGGTATATTCTTAATAGGAAATTCTAGTTTAAAATGTAGATCTTTTGGATTGCTAAAAAAGTGAAAATAGAAACATAATGGTTTTGCTTAATGGAATACTAAGAGTTTGATTTCTCTGTCTTTGCTAGATTGCTACTCACTTTGTAAGGATGTATACTAAGCCAAGAACTTCTGCACAGCTTCTGCACAACTGTTTGATACTTGTGAGTGCTATGCATGCTGTCAGTCTGGCTATAGACATAAAGGTAAATGGTCTAATGCTTGCAATACTTACATGCTTTGAATTTTATTTACTTATTTTTACTTTTATGGTATTAATATTGTACATCAAACTAAGATGAGACTTTAGTAAAGCCGGTTTATTTCTTGATATGTTACCGTGTGATGGAAACAAAAATACTGCTTCATATAAATACACTTATTTACAAGTAATTTCCATAATTCCTTGCTTTGTAGAACTGTATATATGTGACTATCTGAACATAATATTAATTCAGTTCAGATTCTAGCATTGTAATTACAAAAGTAAAACCTGAGTGGATTTTTTAATTAATATTCTAAGGCAATTTATAAAATATGTATATGTATAAGAAAAAAACACTTAAACATAAAAAGCAGTGGCAAAAAATTATATGAAAATCTGGTGACACTCAGATGCAGCTATCCAATAATGAAGTTTCATGGGAGTGCTGTCCCAGGTTTGATGCAAGCAGATATCCATAGCTTTGGACTACTTGGAGAGTAAGGGAAAAAAGGAAAATAAGAGGGAATCAGGTATTTTAAATAGGTGATAATTCAGTAACTAGCACACACAACCAGCATTTGGAAGATGAGAGCATGAGTCCCTGTGAGCATGTAGCCCTGTAATACAGTCTTGCTACTGCTAAAACAGGTGATTTTGTACTGCATTTACAGGGCCTTAGACCTGGGATTTGACAAACCTTCTTCCTTGCTTCCTGAGTGATTAAAAATCCTGTCCTTACCAAACTAGTAAAAAAATTCCAGTTCTTGTCTTAAGAATTTGCAGAGTGGTGTGGCTTCCATTATGAGTGAAGTGAATGTCAGTGATGAGCTGAAGTGGATGTGAAGTGTGTTGGGCTGCCTAGAAGACCATAAGAAGATACAGTAGAATAGACATGGTATTTGTCAATGTATGAGGAAACTTTCAAAAAAATGTAATAGTATTATAGATCAGAGATAGATATGTGATGTGAATAATGTGGTAGGAAAGGAAGCTTAGTTACAGCTTTTCTTTTCCACTTGATTGTGTTATGATTACAGGGAATAATTAACCCTGCTATTTCCAGTTGTATCAGCTACTCTCTTGCTTCCACATCCTGATACAGATGCGCTGTCATAAATAACTTTGATAATACAGGCTAAACCAAGAAAATCTACTGTTTCATATACTTGTAGTTGACAGGAAGCATAAAAAGATGATTAGGTATAAGCCTTAAAATGAAGGCATATTTTGCCTCAGCTTTTAATAAGAAAAACAGGCAGTTCAGCACATGAAGGCAGAGGCTTGGTGGCTGATGTACAAAAGGAATTAACCACATTAAAGGAGAAGCACAACTCCATTCAGGGCATTCTCCTTAGTGCACTTAATGTGTTTTAATACTAAAATGTCTACAATACTACAATATTATTAGTTCTGTACGTTTTTGAGTTATTGGTGTTTTTATAGATGGGGAATTCCATCTATGAACATATTAGGAATTTAAACACAGCTATATAATCTGTCATCACCAGAAAAGGGAACAGATCTTGGCTCTTCAAGGTCTTTATTTTAATTCTAGCTAAGGCATGTCCTACTAACAAAATATTGTGGAAAGTGGGGAAAAAAAAAAGAAAATTGAAAGGGTACTTTTAACCTACATTTGTTGAAATTCACATATACTCTAAAACTACTGTAGCAATTTCTTAAGCTTCTTGTTATTCAGCAATGAAACCATCAAAATATAAGAATCCTGTTCCATCTCTCCTGTTTTGGGATTTTTCTGTTTGTTTTGTTTCTTAAATTTAGCAGGCTGAAATGTTACAGCAGTATTGGCAAAGTTCTTGACTACTAGGTAATTACTGCTTCTGATCCTTCAGGACAGTTTTGCATTAATTAATGCAAGAATGGTGGTGACAGCACAAACTGAGAAACATGTTAGGTCTGGAATAGGTGACATTTTAAATCGCTTTAAAATCTAAGGTTCTGTAATAATAAAGAAGTTTAACTGTCTGGAACACTTTAGCTGCAAGTTTAAATTATACCTCTAATAGAGTTCAAGGCTTTTAAATCCTCTTAAGGATTAAGATACAGGCTTAAGATTGAGTACATTGGGCAAGAAATTCTTTGTTTCTGCTATTTAATAATAATGAACAGCTTAGCTCTGGAGTAACAATGGTGTTTTTCTATATGTTTTTCTTTGTGTTTGATATTTTTAAGTTTTAAAATGCTTTGATTTGAAGAAGATCCAATTGAAACCCCAAAATAAAATACTGCAAGACAGTATGGTGTGTAACAGGGACATGGAGGGAATGTATGTGACAAGGATAGATTAGGAGCAAAGGTGCAATGACTGGAAATCGTGAGTAGAGGAACTCAGTTTGCTACTGACTGATTTAAATTGGTGCCAACAATTCTAAGATTTATATTTGCAACCAAGTAAAAAGGAAAAGGGAGGATATTTTCAAACATGCTATAGAAGATGTTGTGACTGAAGTCCAAGAGTGTGAAGAAGCTGAAAATGAATCTAGCTGTTCTGTTGAAATCCAGCATAGTTCTGGAGCAGAGAAACTGGGCAGTTACATATGAGGAAGAAAGGGGGGTATATGGTAACCCCAAGACTTGAGTCTGAAATGACGGAAAGATGCTGTCAGCAGCCAATTGAGAAGAGTAAAAAAATGCAGCAGCAGATTTTTTTTAAATTTCTAGTATATGTAAGAATTTTTCCTTGAGGCAGTCTGCAGATTATTGCATGCACTTAGAAAAGTAATTTTCTGGCTGTTACCTAAGGTTTCACTCATACTTTTATTGTAATAATCTCCAAAGACGATTCATAATTTTTTGTTTTCACTTTCCTTTACTTAAATAAGGAACTCTTAGCTTTGTAAATATGGCAACTTCTTGACAAAATTAACTTTGAGGAAAATTATTTCTTTCTTACTCCTTACTAATTTGGCTAAAATTTGTTCAATACTGCAAATACACAGACAGAATTTTATACCTTTCTCTCCCCCAGTCTATAAATTTATATACCATGGTTTGCCTGAAATAGGAATGTAATATTGATGTGCTATCTTAACTTTGGAAAACAGAAAAGCAAAAAAATTAAAAATAATTTTATCTGTTACAGTAGCAATTGTCTTCTCATGTGTATCTTTGCTCAATAGTATTCCAAATAGTATCTTTCCTGCAGTATTCTGGAAAAACATTTAAAGAGAGTTGTAAAGGACTGAATCTCCCTTGGCATTCTTACAAAAGTGGATGTAACAACTAAATGCTTTAATCTGTAAGCCTGATAAATCAGAGCACTAGCTAAAGATAATCTGGCTGGAATTTAGCCTTATTGATTACATTGGGCAAGCATTTGATACTGTCCCACACAACATTTTTGTCTCAAAAATGGAGAGACATGAATAGAATGGGTGGACCACTCGGTGGGTAAGGAATTGGCTGGATCACCACACTTAAATCCTTTTAATAAGGATATTAATATGTGTATATATTAGAATAATACATTTGTTTAGGTTGTAAAGAACCTTTAAGACCAACGAGTCCAACACCTAACCCAGCACTGCCAAGCCGACCACTTAACCATATCCCTAAGGACCACGTCTACACATATTTTAAATACCTCCAGGGATGGTGACTCAGCCACTTTCCTGGAAGCTTGTTCCAATGCTTGGTAATACTTTTGGTGAAGAAATGTTCTCCTAATAGCCACTTTAAAAGTTCCCCAAAACAACTTGACGCAACTTGAGAGTGTTTCCTCTTGTTTTATTGCTTCTTACTTGGGAGAGAGGCTGACTCCCACTTCTCTATGACCTCCTTTCAGGTTGTTGTAGAAAGCGATTACCAACCTCATTGCTCTTCTACAAACATATGTAAATACAGACTATTAAGCTTTGTTTAGACACCAAAATTACTACTTTATCTTGTTTCCAGATTTGTTGACTGTTCCTTTCTCACATTGACTTCCAGACTATTGAAACCTTGACTGCTGCACTTATATGAACAAAGCCTTTATAAATTTAAAAAACTCCTTTTATTCACAAACAACATTGCTTCCTGCATGTTTTCTCTTTAAGGTCAATGTTTAAGCCTTACAGATCTGGAAATAATTAATAAAGATTAAATGTTTGGCTTTCTGTTTCTGGAATTTACTACAATATTTTTATTACTTTGTATTTGTTTAATAATTTTGCCATAATTTTCACAAGAAATTTGCCATTGCTGGTTTAATTGGTTACCTACGTAACATGGCCGCTGATTCCAAGACACTTCCATTTTTCAATTATTTATGTCCTGCTAGAAGCTGTTCTTTGCGGTAGTATGTTTATTTTCATCAATGCTTTGTAGGCATTGAAGGCCTTGCATTGGGAAAGCCTTTTGCATGATTTTTGTACCTGTTCATTATTTTGCTTCATTACAATATTTAGCTAATTATTACATATTCAGAAAAATGGAGAGTGCTATTGCCACAAGAAGTGGTTCAGCTATCTACTCCTTCCTAAGATCTTTCAGTTAAGTTTTTCTCTCCTCTTTTCTGTCAGAGCTTTGTTTCATAGTTAACTGTGATTATTTTAAAATTAAAACACCGTAATCTGATTTTTCTTTTCCTTTTCCAGCAACATAGATTAATATTTGAATATAAAATATTCTGTTAAAAGTATCAATCCACTTCACTGCTATGCTAATAAAACAGAACAGGCAGCATTTTCTAAATATAATTACTTAGAGGCCGTTCATGCCATTTAGTTCTTGCTCTAAGTTATAAACCTGTTTTCATAAAAAGCAAAGGCATTATTTGCAAGCAGTTATAAATTATTTGTTGAGTAGTAGTACCAGCAGTGCTAAAGACCAGAATTCTGTCATATGCAGGTGATTGAAAACACGGTTGATTAGGAAATAAAGGCCCAGAGCTGATGGTATTGTAATAATTAAATAACTCAATTTTTGCAATAGAACCCATCTACCAGCCCTTAAATTTATGGTCTGGTTTTGATATAGTCCTAAACTGGAATACTTAGA